CTGTGGCGCCCATCGCCGCGCGCGCGGAGCGGCAAATTACGATTCTCTTGCCCGTCTCCCCTATTTCTGAGAAAGTACCAAATCATCGTGCCTTATGTCCTTAACGTGTTGCGGCCTTATTTTTAGCCAGTTATGTACATTGCTATTATGGAAGACTCTCAGTCTTGAAGGTTTTTACCTGATTGTAAATAAGAATTTTGACGCCAGGAATAGATCTGGTCTTGAAGTGACTGGTACATGCATCTATCCTCTCGTACGTTTCTATGTTGAGAAGAAGGCGAATTGCATGGCCGACCCCTAGAAGTGAACATACCGTATCTAGCAGAGCCGTGAGCCTTGTAAGCACAAGAAAAGTGTAAACTGCTTCAAAATATCGAAATCTTAGTGTTTTATAACTCTTACCACTTCCGACGACTTTGAGAGGGTTGTCAGGTTCGGTGTTTAGCGCCCAACAGAGGCCAGATAATGTCCAGACGGGTTTGAAATCGCTCATGCGACAACTTGTCCCATTTGGCCAGGTACATCTGTAGGAATGAAAGGCACTTTATGGTCACTAAGAACGTTATCATAACTTACCCGAGTATCATTCTTGACTTCCAGTGAGCTGCACTACGAAGAAACCGTACTGCGTCCATGTCCCAAGCTTTTTCTATGACCTGGAAGTGAGAAGGATTTTTATGCAATTCCCTGAGAATTTCTTTCTCTGCTGAGATGAGTCGTCAAGTTGGGTATAGTCTTGTTCGCTGAGGATGCTGCGAGGTAGGCTGACGCAGCGCCTCACCCACCCCTGACACGCCCCAGCATCCGCAGCGAACTGTACTGTATATGATGGATGCCTACAGCTGTATGAGATATAGAATCATGATAAAACGAAGGAGAAAACCTGTACGAATGGGAGAGAAAGCCACAACCTCTTCAAATATATTCCTCGGTTTTCTTGATATGGATTTCAGCGATCCCTGATTCAATTTTGTCCGTCTATTGAGTATCCTAGCACCCGTAATATACGTTAACCTGCAAAATATATTTTTTATGTTTTTATTGCAGCCTCGGCCAGGACTTTGGTTCAGTGTGAAGGGAGCAGTTCACGTTGCACGAATGGGCGGAGACAGTCAGTCATTCTACCTCCTCTCTTAGTTCAGAGATGACCGAAAAGGGCAATGCAGCAGTGAGGATCGCGCAAATGGTTGGGTGTCTCCGCCCATACGACCAACGTGGACTGTGCCCTCTGTTAAAGGCCGTGCTCATTACCCTCACTCCTTATTTACCTGAACTGATTATTGTTACAAATAGCTACAGCTGGAAAATCGATAGTTGATGGATAATCGGCTTCGATGTTTGTGGCAACAGGTTCCGAATAAAATAATTTTAGCTGATAATAGATTTGAATAAACGCCAACATGACAAATACGACTATAATACAACACCAGATGTACCTAAAAAAATCGGCCCTGAAAAGAGCCATTTGTGAAGAAACAAGCGACAGGAATATCTTTTGGGATTACACAATTACCTAGATTTATCCTTTTCTTTCAGGTGACTAACTCCGTCCATGTTAGCGCCCTGCAGGATGTCGAAGATATCTGTTTTATCGCTATCCACTTCTATAAGGCCAGAATCTGAAAATTTCGAGTGAACTAGTCTTGAACTTGACCTATAGAAGACCCCTAGGCTTATTTGGCCATCTATTTATGACATTTTTACCCCGTTTTAAGATGTATTTCTTTCATTTTATTTCCAATATCGTCTCGATGGGCGGTGTAGGAGGCGTAGAACTGGCTCATCTGCGGCTGTATTTTCTACCAGTAGTGGACGAATCAGGTAGGAAACAACCAGTTGTAGAAAAGGAGGCTACGGTATTTTCACTTCAATGGACCAAATCGTCATTTACGTAGGCTGGATTCCTCAGCTTTGACAAGCAAGGGCGATACTCTCATGTACTGAGAAAAAGACAAAAGTTCGGCTTGAATTGAGGCGAAATTCCGTGAGTCTTACTACTAAACAGCCCGTTTTCTCTGCAAAAAAATCTATGAGTATCCCTATGAGCTCCCATCGGCTATCTCTTGATGGTAGATCGACCCGTTTGTCTCATTCCTGAGCTTCACCGATGTTCTACCAATGGCTGGTCACAGCTGCCGCCGCTAATTCATGTGAACTATGGTGCCCATTACCGCAATTACATTCAGCGCCTCGAAGAAACTTTATGGGAGGTATATACGCTCTACAAAATGACTAGCTGTGAGGGTTTAAGACCACGGTGAGCCTCTCATCACGTACATTTCATATCCCCCAGATATGAAGGGAGCCGAGCAGCCATAGCTTCAGTTTAATCATTATGAGGATACTTCTTTGCTTTTCCTGAACATTTGACTTCCATCAAGGTAATCTGTCTTTGTGCTAGACGAGGGAGGACATAACTTCATCGCCAATATTCGCGCCCTCCACATCGCCGTGATATAGCGCGTATAGTCCGTTGACGATTTCACTGCTGTAGCATTCCACTGGTGACTGCTCTTCTCCTCCTTTTAGAAGCCAGAGAGCCTGCTTTTCCCGCCCGTACGATCAGCGTGCAGTGTTTCTTGGGAAGAGTCAATGAATTAGATCCTGACGGCTGGATAAATTAGTAAGAATGACTTCTTGGAATTGTTTTCTTCCGTTTGCCCGTAGCTGCTAAGTTTGCACTACACCTTAAGACTAGAGGGCTCATCGGTCCCTCCACGGTTCTTTTTCACGTAACCCTTGACTCGGGGACCCTCTACTCGCAACACATACTGAAGGAACATTTGCCGAATTTGACCCTTTAAAATAAACATTATTTTCAACCTCCAAATTGGAATGCATAAAACAGAAGTTCATAGGAATTTGTGACCTACCAAGAGCGAGTTTCAGGTTGGACGGCGTTCGAGACGAAATAGAGAGCGCGTTTGAATTGGCCCGCGACCTGAAGATGCAATGAATGTTGACGGAAAAAAGGTGCCCGAACAGCAACTGGCTCTTTTTTATCCCTTCTGTTCCCTATGATTTTGGGGATCGGAATTTGTAGAACCAGGTGTAAAAAATGATTTCGTCGATTGGGCTTTTGCTCCGCAGAGTCACATGCTCGGTGATGCTCCCAGTGATCGGAACAATGGAGGAAAATGACTCGGGCAGTTCGGCTACTGGGGCGGGGAGCGGGGGCATTTCGCCACTTCATATCGACGTGTCGACCCACCGGGAGCCATTTCGTGAATTTACAAGAGTTGATAGGTTTACCATGGTGGCTCTACGAGCTTGCTCCAGCTTCACAAGAGTTCACAGGTTTCACCAGAGTGAGACTTGTAAACCGGAACTAGTGAAGCAGCGAAAGTGCAAAATGCCCCCCTCCCCCCGTCGGACGATATCGAAGTGCGCCAATGAATACAATCGTTGGATCAATTATTTACATTTGGAGCAAGTGCGGCTCCCGCAACTTCTGCTGCAACGTCGCATCGTTACAACGTGGATCTCCCAACCGACCCCTTACTTGTAGAAGTATAAGTAAACAAATGCAATGAAACATACCGTAATACATAGTGTTGCTTCGGGTAATCACCAAAACTGGCACGCGGGTTGTCCACCGGAACGGCAAACGTGCCCGCAATGCGCTCTGCCATGCGCGGCATAGCGATCGCTTATTGATGAGTTGACCGGCAGGCAACCAGTTGGTGCAGTTAGTAATTCCCCATTAAAAGAGGCTGAAATTGCTCATTGAAACTTCTTGAAGGGTTCTGTTCTCATCGAGGAATTATAAAGCGGTGAGATTTACGACTGTGTCGAGGTTGGATAGATTATGAGGTCTTATGAACACCAGCTGATGCATTAGCGGAGCTGGAATGACTGAAAAAGGTCACGAGGCCACAACTGATAGGAAACCATTCAATGGCATAAAACTGCTGAAAAAGACCATGTTTCTGCCTGCTCACGGTTCAGCCGGATCACAGGCCTAATGAATTAGTCCTGTCAGCGGTGACCTGTGCGAGTCAAATATTAAAGGCATTTGGCACGATACTTTGGTACTCGGCTCAAAATGCCATGGGAAATGGCGAAAAAACGAAGTGAAACGGTCAAAAACCTGCGAAGAAAAGCCTTCGTTCTTAATGACTCAAAAATTTCGGACGAGTTTCCCGTAGGCATCTTGCCAATAACCGCTACGGTAGGTACGGCTGCACGTATGTACTTCATACATATATCCATCGGGGCAGCAACCGCAGCGCTTCAATGTCAATCCCTTCGCTTTCTTATTGTCAGCTCCGCAAAGGAAGCAAAACGCAGCATCAGGTGCGTTCGTCCATTTTCGGCGGCGGGCGATGGTGGGCGTTCGGGGTCGGTATGTTGTAGGCTCAATAGGGCCTCAAAGGGTGAATATTCCTTGAGAAAAGGCGCTAACGTAGCGCTTGTCCACATTCGACAGGGATTCTATCCCTGTCGGCGCGTATTAATCTCTACTAGCGCACGGCATTTATCGTGCTAACTGGCCTTAAACGACACAATGTAACGTTCAAACACAATGCGAGGGTGTATGAGACTATCAGCCCCCCAGATGTCGATGTGTCTCGTGGTCCCCCCGCCCAAACATGCCCAGGAATGGAGATACAGGGCCGTGAAACACGCTAGTTCCTCCATGCTCCGCCTTACACCTTTTGCGGCGCAGATTCCCGTCCTTCATAACATCCGTTGCAAGCGCGCGTGTCGCGTGCGGCTCCTTGGAGTAAAACGCAATTTCCTGATGCGGAAAAACATTGGAGGTGCTACAAAATAAGAACAGAAGATGATGACAAGGGCCAGAACTCAAGAGCAACTCGGCTGCATCCGCAGAATCCATCAGAGGCCGCGCATTCCCAGAAAACATGAGAATAAAAACAATCCAAGCGTCCCACTCGTTTATTCTAAGTATTTCTATGGCTTTGGCGCCGGATTCGCGCCGTAGAAATTTACGAGGCGATTTTATACTAATTTGCCTTTCCTTGATTTTTTCATTTTTGTTTTGTTTACATTTACATCGTTGTGCTTCATTTCTAGCCTGTGTCATCTTCATCTCCTTGTACATGGATTTTGAAGCATGAGCAACACCTAAAATTTTATTCGCATCAGGAAATTGCGTTTTGCTTGTATCAAACTAACGAGTATGCCGTTTTATTTTCATGTTTCGTGGAAATACGCGGCCTCCGAGGGATGTTGCAGAAGTGGCACAGTTGCTTTTAAGTTCTGACCCTCATCATCATCTTCTGTTCTTATTTTGCAGCACCTCCAATGTTATCCGCATCAGGAAATTGCGTTTTACTTGTATTTGAGAGCGCAATTAAAGGACTTGGCAAAGTGCCAAGGAGCCGCACGCGACACGCGCGCTTGCAACGGATGTTATGAAGGACGGGAATCTGCGCCGTAAAAAGGCAGTGGGCGGAGCATGGAGGAATTAGCGTGTTTCACGGTCCTGTATCTCTCAATTCCTGGGCATGTTTGGGCGGCGGGGACCACGACACATCGACAGCTGAGGGGCTGATAGTCTCATACACCCTCAATGTGTGTGAGCGTACTATGTGTCTTCAAGGAGCGGAAAACTAAAAAAGAAACAGCACTTGGGCCCCCATTTGCGAAGAAAACAAGAAAGTATCGCTGAGCGCTTATCGCTGAATCAGGGCTTCCTTTGAGGCGAGTGCGATTATTATAAATACAGTAGCGCCGCGTTCAATAGTTCGGCAGAGCGCTGCCACGTATCCGGGGAGAGCCAACAGAGTAGGAAAGCAAAGCCGCACAAGGATGAGATAATTGATTGCTTACTCTCCCTTCCTCCTGGCTCCGGCTAAGTAGCGAGTTGCGGAAACCGGATACAAGGGAGAGTTGAAGAATAAGAAAACGGGGAAAGGAATGACAAATACAGTAACCGTCACCCGTGAAGGAGAGCGCGGTTTACGGGGAGCGCAATTAAGGAAGCCTTTAAATCATTTGCTGCGGTTGAACGGCGTCCTCGCCAGTAACGGCTGTCAATGGCTGCGCCTCCCGTTTCTCTCGCCCTTCACAGAACTTCTCGTTTGTGGGGATACTGACTGTGCTGAGTCTTCATGAATTAGAGTACCTTCATTAGCGGTCAATAGATTTACGCTGCGACGTTTGAAGTGTACTCGCGTGCGCGACACTCTCACCAGAACGTCCATGATATAGTGTGGAAGTGCAACAGCATGTCATGTGAACCGGTCGGGAGAAACAATAGTTTACACTCATCGTCGCAACATGGATCTCTTGGCCCGCACCCGACAACCATCAATAATCGTGCTGGAGGCATACCAGGGATACTCCCATCAGAGACAGATGAGATTCTGCGGCATCATCTCTCATTTGTAAACTCACCTACAGGAAGCTACTGGTTCATCTAAGCTGTAAGAAGAATTTCTCAAGGATCCATAATACAACGAAAGAACGAAGAAAAGTAACAATAGGAGGAAAGGAATTGAAGAAATGCAGAAGGTAAATCGAGAGAAAACTCGATAAATGTTGTATCTACAGCACAAACGAACAGGAGCTGCTCTATCTGCACCGAATCGGTGATATATAGCCAGGGATCACAAGCAGGTGAAAAAATGATCGGAGCACAGCATATCACAGAGGATGCCTTCTGTTTTCCCCCTTTTTTCTTGCCTCTAGGAGGACGCCTGATGTCTGATAAGAAAAAGCTGCCAAGCGGGGCATCTGAGAGGAGCATCTGAGAACTCCTTTCGCAACCTAGGACTACAGTTATAGGAATGAGGACGCTCATCCAGGTGTCGAGTGGAGAGGAACCCCGGAACGGCTGAACGGTGATTCCATTCTTATGACGTGAATACCACTTTGCGCAAAACATCCTTCAGCCCAACACCCCCCCCCTTAAAGTTTTGAGCTTCGACAAAGGCTTCAATCTTGCAAAAAATGTCTTTTGCAGTTGCAGTTTGCTGCAGCGATAAATTTGGCAGGGAGTAAAGAATGGAAGCACCTGACGGACAAACAGAGCAGATTAATGAGCCCGAACCACATGCAAGAGCGCATTCCGAAGACTTTCTTCAAAGATAGCTATCTTTGTTCCTCAGACCTGCTCCACAGGTCTTAATCTCACTGGGTTGCGAAACGAACTGAAGTTCCATTCAAAAACCGCTAACTATTGGGTACTTAGGTAAAATGATAATCTGAGAGGGCAGATACAATGTACATTAGAGAGTACTGCTGCCTGGAGCAGTGTTACATTGATTGCCATTGTTGACATTTAGAGAGTATAAAAGCCAGTCCAGGCTGTAGCCTTTGTACGCTCTGCTCTCATTTTTACAATCATTGTGGCGTGGAGAGAGAGGGAGCGGACAGGCCACCCCTGGGGCTCCCCCCCCAAATGTGCGCACTCCTCTTCTTTGCAGACCTGGAAAAAGCGAACCTAACCACCTATTCCACCGTTATTGTCAGAGGGCAAAGCTATATGGGCGAGGACACTGAGTGCAAGGCTGGCCTCCGCTTATGGATACTCTAACTTCGTTAAACTTTCCGTTCGCGAGCTCAAGGTACAAAAACAAGTAAGCTGAAGGCACAACATCCACTCGTGCCGATACGCGAACTGCCACCCGCCCGATGTCTGTCAATTATAAGGTAAGACTCTGATGCCCTTTCCAAGATTGTTAGATGACATCAACCTTCCATTAGGAAGTATCGAGTGAGGCCGCCGTGGAATGTGAATGGAGAGGATTCTGTGATGGTCACTGATTGCAGTATCAGGCAATGCACAAGACGGGTACCACTGCGGAAGTGCTGATCAAAATCAAGAGTGCGCTACAACGGGTGGGCAACAACGCTAAGGAAAACGAAAAAGAATGGCCAATGAAAACCTTCTTTGTCGTCTCATTGATTATTATTATTGCTAGTGAGCTCAACAACCTGTTCTAAAAGGATCATAAAGAGCGAAATGTCTGAGCACCGCCGAGAAAGGGTTATGGGACTGAAGGTGGATTATCCGAGAAAATTTCGCAAAGAAGCGGAAATCACGAAGCTATCCAAAACATCTAATTTTGAGAGATCTGGTAGGGATTAGCAGATAAATTATTCCCAGCACTGATCTCTGCTCAGTTTCCGTGCAAGAGCATGTACCAGACAGGAACTGACCCACTTTTGAACCTTGAACTTACTAGGTAAAAATTTCACAACAACTCTCTGCTTTGAATCAAGAAATTAATTTAGCTGGAATTATTACGGTACTTCGGAATATTCACCTCACGCTTCATAATCTACAATGAAATGGCAAAGGTAATCTGTGGACCTCTTAGAGCCACAAGTGGATTGTCGACAAGGAATAGAACATGTGGCGTAGTGACGATGGCAGGGAACACTCGATCATGATGAGCGGACGCATGTTTTGTGTGACAGGTCTACTTACCTGTCCAGCCTAAGAAATTCTTACAATTGAAACAATACTGAGAGGACAGAAACATTTTAGCATTCGTCATACCGGCCCCTATCCCTCATGCTCACCCAACCCGGCAGACGAAAAAAGCTATTCAGGGAGTTTCTCTGCACTCACAGTCATCAATCACCAGACACGTCTTCTGGTACTCGAGTAACATCAGACCCCTTTTTCCCTAGAATTCCAGTGCCCCACTAATGCAGAGCAGAGTGT